CCCCAAAACCCCAAAACCCCAAAACCCCAAAACCCCTTTTGTTTGAGCAATAATTGTAATACATAAAATAATTTTTATAACATGTCGCACCAAAAGGAAGGTAAAAGCTCAAAAAGTTCGATCTTCTCAGAATTTTATGAGAAGCTACAGGATCCTAAATCCGAGGAAATTCGGCTCCTTTTCCAAAGATTCGTTGAAAAAGGGTTTGCTCCAAAAGCACCTAGAGAGAAAATGGCCAAACAGATCAAGGAAATAGTTGAGCTCATGTTTGAAAATTTCGCAGATATATGGAAGATTCGAAGCAAGATAATCCTTGAGGGAATGGAACAGCTCGTCACTAAAAATCTCTACAAGGTCCTTAAGCTCCGTCGTGAGTCAGAAATCCAAGAAAATGAGATGATAGAGAAATAAAATGAAAATTATCGGCAGCTTTATCAAACCTGAGCATTTAGATATCGATCCAAAACGATTGAGCCAGCCTCGTGTGGACCGGGCAATCTGTGAGCTTCAGAAAATGAACAAGTTCAAAACACCTCGTGATAAGATGGTTTTAATAATGAATTCATGAAAAATTATCGGATTGATGCTAAAAGAGACCAATACGTCTAATGAAGCAGAAGGAGCAGATATGTTCTTTCCCTCAATCATATACATCCTCCTCAAGGGGTGCCCTAAAGACCTGAAGGCCCACTTGGACTTCATAAAACTATACAGAAACCCTGAGCTTCTGGAGTCTGAGGATGATTACTTCCTGACAACTATGAGTAGTGCCATTGATTTTGTTGGAAATATGATCGGAGATGACCTCAACATCGAGAAATCTGAGTACAAAGACCTTTATGACAAATTCTCAGAAGAAAAAGGCGGAGAAATTGACCAAAGAGCTCATGTTAGGAAGGAGAAGAAACTTGATAAGAACTATGACGAGTTCGAGAACCAGAGTGAAGTATCCTGTATTACGACTCAGTCTAGCGCCCAGATCCTAGGCGAGCTCGAGAAGATGGATGTACCTATTATTTCTAACACTCTGAAGCTCAACAAGGGGATCCAAACCGAAGTGCTTAAAGAAGAAATCAAAGAAGTGAAGGAAAGTACAAATAAATCTCTTGTATCTGCTAGCACAGCTTCAGAAACCCCTGCTAGCTCCTTATGGTTCTCCAAATTTGAGAATAAAGTGATTACAGAGAACGAACAGTTCTGGTCAAAGACTCTTACTGATGATTTTGAAAGCCTAAAAATCTCTGATCTTAAGGAAATGCATAAAATAATGTTATAAGTGTCAGAAACTTCTTCCAAAATGATAATTCTAGACAATCAGCATTATTTAACCATGAACAGCCAGAATTATGAAGTGAGGCTGTCTCAAGAAATCCTTGAGGAGGACTTCAAGACGAGGAAATACCAAACCACTCAACAAAAGCAATATGCAAGGAGGATATAACCAATAACAAATCTAATCTTGAATCAAAGGTAATTCCCTCAAAAGAAGACTGAATCGATAAATCAAAAGAAAATGAAGAGCTATTTGAGATTTTTGGAACTTCAAACAAGCAAGAATCTCAGCCTGAGCCTTCAAAAGAGGCTCTCAATAATGGTCTTGATGGGCTTGACGACATTTTTAGTTAATTTCTCTTCCAAATGCCACAAAAATTCATTCATACTGGCCATTTATGGGGTTTTGGGGTTTTGGGGTTTTGGGGTTTTGGGG